ACAGATGGTCATAATGGCTCCCATTTCTTGGGCGCTCACTGTGGGCCTGTTCCTGTGTTTCATGCTTTACACGACTTCTCCCATTTCCCCCTCACAATTTTATAAGGGGGATCTACCAACATCTCTGCTGCAAACAAGGACAGCAGAGAAAGTTGGCTTCTTCTGAATTCTTTTGGCAGGAGGAGGCAGGAGGAGGGCTTGTGTGCAGGGCCCGTGGGAAGGCAGGAGAGTGGAGGAGGAGGAAGGGATGCGTGGTGTCCCTCCCTGCTGAGCCACGTGGTTGGAATGGAGCCTCTGAGCAGAGACAGCAGAGCCAGAAGCCCCAGGACCTGGTGTCAGGAGGATGTGGGGCCCGGCTGCTGATGTGTGGCCTAGAGCTGTGGAGGACACCATGGCTGCACCCTGGCATGGAGCCCTCTAGGGCCCTGGCCTCTGAGCACTGGGGACTGGAGACCACGGAGGCGGTGCCCTTAGCAGGACACAGACAGATGGAGCAGAACATGAGAAATCGGGCCCCTGGGCCCACAGGACCCAGAGACCCAGCACCCAGAGAGGCCGGGGAGTGGCAGAGGGACCCCCTCAGTTAGTTAGTACACAGGAGCTCGGCATCCTGGTTACTGCTGAGGGACCTCGTCTGTCCCCCCTCCCTGCCTGGGACACCAAGCATGTGCAGGCCACCTTCCCAGCTTCTCCGCCAACCTTTGTTCCAGCCAGCCTTAAAACTTCCTCTTCCCAGCGTCATTGTGACACTGCATCAATTTCCCTTCTGGTCCACTAGATGCTGCTCTGCACCCACCTAAGACATCACCATGTCACATTCCTTGGATCCAGTTGGTAGAGACAGGTGAGCTGGTCAGCCCTTCTGATTTCTCAGGGGGTAGAATAGAGACCACAGTGTTTACGAGGGCCCTTTGACATTAGGGTGATAATAGCTCCAATAGCTATAATTCATCCAGCACTTAGCACTTTCCGAGCTGTTTTTAGCTGCTGTAACCCCCACAAGACCATGTGATGTAAATTTGCATCCTATATATGGGGAAACTGAGTCTCAGAGAGATAGCGTGACCTACTCAGAGTCACACAGCATGTACCTGGATAGGCTGTGATTCAACAAAGGTTTTTGTGCAAGTCCAAATGCCAGAGACACAATATCATCCTGTTGCTCATAGAGGTTGCTATTTATTGAGCTCCTACTATGCTCGGTACTCGGTGAGGCTTGGAGAGTACAGAGATGAATAAGACAGACCCATTCCATGGGTAGTTTGTCATGTGTCCCCTCCCCTGGGAACCTTGAAGACAGCACCCATGTGTCCCCAGCACCTAGCACAGAGCTTGGCATAGAGTAGGGTCTCGACTGATGTTGGCTGAATAAGTGAATCAACTGTTGCAGGCTACACAACAAGCACTTGGGCCTTGTGACTTTATTTTTGTCCATAAAAAGGAACATGGAGGAGAGATCCTCTCACTGTCCCATCAAAGCATTCATCAAGGGGCCCGTCTTTGGGTCTGTTGGCTCAACCACAATGGGCCATCCTTGGTCCCTTCTGGTCTTACGATGATGCCATCTGTGGATGGTGGTCTACGATCATCTTTCCCTTGCTTCTTCCTAAACACTT